AGTGGCGAACTACTGGTACCTTCACCGCATGCCTACACGTTAAAGCCAACATCTGGGCGGGAGGCGAGTCCTTGACGGCTGTGAAGGTTTGTGGGGTGACGCAATCCCTGGCCACTATGGCCTTGACACCGATGTGGTAGGGGAGTTGGTCGATCAACGTATCGACTGCAACTTGGGTCGCTTCATCTGTTTTCTTACTCTTCGGTTGGGACAAGCCAAGTTTACTCCCAAAACAGCGTCTACCTCGCCCATAGGAGCGGACTTTTTCTTGGCTAAGTTCTTTGTCGTTGTTTTCTAAAAGCCGCCAACCTGCGTGGTGACCTCTTTGCCCGAACCAATCTGCTGCTCAGCCGCCTTCTGTTTGCCCGAGCCCCCTTGAGGCCTGGTTGCTTTCTTCTTTCCCGAGCCATCATGCTGCTCGGATGCTTTCTGTTTCCCAAAGCTCCCAGTCAGCTCGAGTGTTTTCTTCACGAACCCCTTTTGGGGCTCGAGAACCCTCTTCCCACCAACTACCTTAAAAGCATTTATGAGCCTTTTCGCGTTTGGGCCTTCCCCAAGCTCAGCACTAGCATGCTTTGTGTCGGCGCTGTCCACGAGTATCTTCACCGAAGCAACCAGTGCCTTTTTGGTAACCAGCAAGGCCGCCATTTTCTTCTTGGGGCCCTTGGGTTTCTCGGCCCACATCTTTGCAAGAAAAGAAACAAATGAATGAGTGACCTATTTGCATGGGAAATTAAACGCGAGCAAGTGACAACTTAATCCTTTCTCCAAAATTGTAAGGAATCTGGCCTTGTCCCGACAAAAGCCATATGCTTTCAGGTTAGGAAGCATGAAAAGCTCGTTGACGTTACACTGATCGTTGGGAAGGTTGCTAAAACGCTACAGTCTTTGCAAGCTCGTGACTGGAAGATAGTTTTGCTCGACATTAAGTACAAAACAAAACAACTCAGTTAGCTTGGATACAATGCTCGAAAGCGACCCTTGTGCACGCAGAGAATCAATGTCTTACTCACGTTTGAAGCGAAAGCGCTGGTCTCCCAGGTTTCATAGAAGAAAAACTAAGAATCCCAGTGCAGGACCTTCTTTGAGACGTTGACCAACTCGTTGAAACGTACCTTTCTTGCCTTAGAAAGGTAGTACTTCTGGTCTTGCCCTTTCTTGAGCCTATACAGATAGAGAAGCTCTTTGACAAAAGGCTCGCCCAACTTTACGATCATGTACGCGATGTACAAACCGATGAGAATGACATATGAATTTGCGGACAATTGGAGAGGAATGATGTTGAACCGTTTTAGCACGTTATCAAAAAAATAATAAGGGGAAATGGATGCCCCGCACCTCAAAAGGGTCTCAGAGATCGCCACCCATCTGGGCGGGGGGTTCTTTTGAGAATGTTCCCCCAAGACCATCAAGTTAAGTTGCACGCATAGACCGTTCTTATGCTTTCGAGATCCCTGGTGGTAATCAAGGATTGTGGTTTTTTACGTAGCCTATAGGCTGAGGACGGCTGGGAATGAGCCAATTGAATCAAAGCACGGTCGGACAAGCCCTCAACGTCAGAGTCCGAACTTCATGCGACGAATTCGTCAGAAACCTCAAGTGTCTCATCCCCAAGAACTGCTGCGCCCACAGGTGAATCGAACATACGATCTACGGTATGATTGCTAGAGGAAGACATGGCTATAGCTCGCTTTTAGGTACCTGAAAAAGAAGCGAACAATTGTCAGAGCTCGAGCAACTCGGCGATCATTCCACACTCGCTTCTAGTTCAGACACTTCAGATAGCTCGCGCAATATGACAAACGTATGCGACCTACCTAGGATACAGACAACCACCGCGTTAAACCCCTATAAAACCTGAGACCGTCAGAGATGCACCCAAAAACCCTACTAAAACCCTAAAACATACAATGTGGCCACTACGGTAGCCACCCTTTGATGCAAAAGTCAGGAAAATAGAAAGATAAGAGAAAAGAACCTTACCAGAATAAGAAGTGCAGAAAACTTGCCGGAAAGAGTGTCGCAATAATGATAAAACAATAGTAGAATGCACAAAAATGCCAGAGAACTTTCATGGACTGAATGAGGATTCTAACGACTTTGCCACCTTTTATAGTAGCTTGCATGGGAGACGAAAGGGTAGGGTTTAATCATAGCTGTCGAGTTGCATTGAATCTCGACGCTGTTAGGAAACGACCTAGTTATGCAGTGGAAAACAAAAACCATAAACTCTATGGATCGTTCCTTAGAACCAAGATCTGAGTACAAAAATCACAGTTTACATTAAAATAATCAAATCTGCAAAAATCAATTCAAGGTTTAAGAAACCATACCCGCGTTTGGAGGCTCCACCAATATTGTCTCTAAACGTGGTTGCTACCGATCTAAGTGTAAGATCGAACCGTAGAGGTCCACACGAAGACAATCAACAAGAACCAAAGAGGGATTTGCTAGATCCTCCTTGGCCTTAAGAAATCAAGAAGAAAACAAACGGTGTTTGTTTTCAATGGAACAGTAAAAGTGGCATGGGAGAGTTTTGAGGCTGGAGGTTTCTCTCTTTTCAAATGAAGAATGAAAATAATAAAATAACACACACTTGTTTCTTTCAACTAAAACCTTTTTCTTTTATAGTCTTATTTTAGTTGCCCTATTCCCATATGGAATGGGCTTGGGCTCCAACCCAAACACCCCCAAATTTGCCAAACACTCCCATTTAGATATTTTAATTTAATTCATCATTATTTCAATTAAAAATCAATTAATATATATTTAATATATATATTAACATTTAACAATAATGATAATTTATTTAAATATTGCGAACATATATTTAAACGTAATTTCACTTATTTAATTTTTCTACAAATTAAATAAAGGCTACGACCTCAGCAAATTTAATTGCACTGTGAAATTATCAAAATACCCTTTCACCCAAAAAGACGAAAACGCCCTTCTTTCTTCCTGAGTCTTAAATTATCTTCTATGTGTGTGACCCATAGACTCCTCATCATATCGGTAGTGTATAGTATCGCGATTAACACCAATTAATCGTCTCACTTATACACAGACCAAGATTGGCTCCTAGCAGGCATCATGGCCACCCAATAGATTCAATTCAGCAAAGTAGCTACTCGTCAACGATATGGTTACCATACAATACGATCCTTTCATCATATGTTATCTTGATGAGACGAAGGCATAGAAATAGTGTCAACCTCCGATTACTCTCGATATTATGTATTCAGTTTCTAGACCAATGACCTATATATAATCCGGATAGAGCAACAACTCAATCCCACTATGGCCATAGTTTTAGTGTCATTGCCATATACTGAATTGCGCCGTGAGATAACTTCTCCGTACCCGAGTGATAATCCTCTGTCAATCCACCATAGTTGATACATTCCTCAATGCAGCCAATCACCACCATATTGACACTCTGAATAGAACTGCGTTAGGCTAGTGTCAAACTATACCAATCGGTGCACAAAGCGCTCCGATGATCTCAAGTCTAAGGACCATATGCACCACCATTCGTTAGAGATTTGTTCCATAGACACTAGGGTATCCATCCATATGGATCCTCTGGTGGGTCAGTCCAGTGAACTTGCTGCGGTGTAATCGCCTACAGCAGCACCCATGTGTTGCACCCAGGTTGTCACCAAACAACCTTGACAAGTGAGATCAGTCACTGCCTTTCGACAGGGTCGTTCAACACTATGATAGCCTTACCGTATTATCTGTGCCCTTACTTCAGAATAATACTGGGGCTACGGACGTTTCTAGAATGGCCACCATATGTGCTCATAGGGTTCTCACTATCAAGATTTGAAACACTCGATACCCTCGTCACGGTTCTACCATTCTAAGGACATATATCAATACATATTGCAATAATAATGATTTACGCGACATAGTATAAAATGCTTTTTATATTTTATTAATGAACATTATTACAAAGAGTCAATTCTACAATAATTGATTGGCTCTAGGGCATCTACTCTAACAGACGCTTCATTCGTCGAGCAATCTCAGCCTTTAGACATGGCCACGTGTCGACCATTCGCTGGGGGCAACGAACTGTTAGACTGTTACACTGATAACCGTTGCCTTGGCCTCGCACATGGATAGCTATAGTCTCCCATGCGCGACAAAACGTGACTGACAAAAGCTGCTGCATTTAATGTGACACGACCACACGAAAATTACATGTTTGCCCTAACTTTTTATATTCTGAGTTTTGTCAGGCATTGTAGGAAATAAAGACCCAAGTGTGGAGTACGTCGACCAGACATAAAGTCAACCCCTGAAGCTCGATCAAACTTGCACCCGGAGGCCTACTGATAAGACCGAGCTTGACATCAAATAGAGCAATAGTCTTCAAAGCCCAAAACGAGCATCGAACTATGGGGCAGATGTTGTGTGTGATTTTTTTGCCAAGCTTAGGCTATCGTGAGGATATAACTCGACCTACAGCCAGCTCGGCAACAATGTTTGATCGATCCAGCATAAGCTTATCGAGCTGTAGCTCGACTTAGCAGAAGCTAGTCATGAATAATCCGAGCAATCATTCAATCAATTCCCGGATTATCTTAGATCACAGATATTGCGGAAAAGATTAGATCAACAACAATTTCTATGCAATCCCAGTGCCTAATCGCGAGAATATCAAAATTACATTTCAGATCAATTGTAATTCCTTTGTTTTTGCTCTTTCCTTCCTACAAATCTTGTATATAAACCCCCTCAAATTATGAAAAAAGGGTTACAAATTTTTCATAGAATTTACATTGTAAGCTCTCACTGCAAATACAAAACAGTGGACGTAGGCTTCAGAGTTTGCCTCGCCGATCCACTTTAAAAACTCTCATTGTCTTTTACTTTATTGCATCTTTATAACTTCGTCGCTGATTATCTTTAATCACACTCACATCAGTTCCGATCCCGACAAGGTCAATTAGATCTCCTTGATTGGTGCAGATTTCTGTATCAACAGAGGGCATCCCCTGCAACAATTTCTTGACCTGAACATAACATAAATTGTCCAATATTATGATATTTTTCATTAAAAGGAGGTTTATAGAAAGTATTGTACAATTGAATAGGCATCATACGTACTACTTAATTTGATAAATTGAAAGGAAAAAGAAAGGCAAGAGGAAAGCACCAGTTCCAACTAGATGACTGACAGAAGCCAAAGCAACCATTCCACTGGTGAAGCAAAATGCTCGATCTGCCTTATCGAGCTTAACTAAAAGGCTAAGAAATCAGGAAAAAGAAACTAAGGGACAATTTGATTCAGAATTGACGATCTCAAACAAATATTCTGTCTTTTAAAACAAGGAAAAATTATAAACTATAAAATCACTCTTGTTGTCATATATATTTTAGAAAAAAAACCATGCACAAAAACAACCTTCCAAGATGATTTAAAATCTAAAAATAAAGAAAAGTCATTTCCACTATTTTCTATAGTTTTGAGCCTAAAAATAGTTTCTAATATCATATAAAATGCATTTTTGGGTATTAAAAATATTTAATCATTCTCTAATACAGATGTTCTATAATTTTTAATGTACGGAGTAAAAGTGAGCATCTGGTCGCTCACTTTACAAACCTTACAATCAAAAGTGAGAGACAGAAGCTCACCTTTGGTCCTCATGTTAAAAATTTTAGGATGTTTTTATTGGATAACTCTCATAAAATCATTAATACGCAACTCAAATATTTTAAGATTGAATCTTTAATTTTATAAAACTTATTTCAGACCAAGAACCAAATGTCACCTTTATCAAAGCTTAAAAGAATTAAAAAACATAACTAGTTCCGAGAACTGAAAAACAACACTTAAATACACCTAATACATCAACAAGCATTAACATACCTTTCCAAGGCATCGCGTGTAGGATTTCCAATTCTGGTATAATCATAGGGTCCACATTCTATCGTTGAAGGCTACAACATTGAAAGTTTATGTAAGCTAGAGTGAAACATCAAAATCAAAATGATTTAAGTGAGTGAAATAAAGTGTTTGTATAGCTATATGTATGTCTACTTTTTTTATGAGCATAATGCTTGTAGAAATTAAACGTTTGTCTCCTCTTACATAAGGTATTGATTGCACGCAGAAAAAAAGAAAAAAAAATGCGATAAGGTTCCCTAAATATGTAAAAGTAATTAGGGATGAACCAACAATGTCATCCGTAAAGACTTTGAATATATCCAAAGACATCATATACATGTAAAAGATTTTAAAATAAAAATTATATTTTCACTGGAGACTTATATAAGTCATTAGGCATTCTGATAAAATGAATAAATTTTGTATTAATTCTGTGTTTATGATTATGAATAACAAAATTTAAACTCACCTGCTTAAAGGTAGCTGTCTGGTAAAGCGGAGTACTGACAGCATCATAAGGATCAAATTTACTCTCAAAATTCATCAATAGTGTTGAGATACCAGGCTTCTTAATAATAACATCTGTATATTATTCAATTAATTTAAATAAATTAATAAATAACACAATCTGCACCATAAAAAGGCACTAAAATAAACAATTACACAGACAAACCGTTAAAACACTCTGCTAACTCATCAACGAGAGCTGAAATGCTGACATCCATTGAACAATTCAACTTAAATTCCTTCTTTATTGGGAATTTAGCAGGTCCATAACCCTTAAATAATAATAATAATAATCCCTTTACATGAGCTAGTTGATGAAAATAAAAATGTAACTCAAATAAAAAACTTACGTGATGGTTAAGATAAGAAGTGTCTCAGTAGAGAGAGGTAAAGAAGGGCTTGAGAGAGAGAGAAGAGGCCATCATCAAAACGAAAGTGAAGGTAAAGGTGAAGGTGAATGTAAAAGTGAAAATGAGAATGAGTATGGGAATTTGGGTTTTTTAATGAGCGAAAAGAAGGCATTGATATTAAAGAGAGAGCGAGAAAGAAGTTGGTGGGTTCAAGTGAGACAGTGAATTCGCGGGCTTGGCTCTCTCCACCAATTGACACGCTCTCTTTTACTTGTTTATATTACACGTGTACACTTTTCTTCTTTCAAAGTAAAACATACAGTTCATTTGATTAAGGGTGGCGCCATTTATTTATTTATTGCATTGGACCAGGAAATTATTCTTGTAATGACATTTGAACCCTCTTAAGCCAAAACAACCGCTCATTCAAACTCTCTATTCATAGTCTAACACATGACGAAGCTATGTAGAGACAAGTAGGGGCAATTGCCCTTTCCTAAACTTTGGAAAAACACTTCTAAAATAAATAAGTAAATAAAAAATTCATAAACTACTTTACTTTTAAGTAAACTGATCACCATTTTAAGGATTTTTCTACTCCTTGTCCAACAAAAGTGTTGAATTAATTCTAGTTTTCTTTCTCTTAAATTTATTATATATATAGTACTTTTTTAGTCAATACGTTCTCGTATTAATTTGTTAGGACTATAAATATATATCATAGAATCTAAATTGTAAAATATCATTTTAGTCTTATGAGATAAATTCAACGGTATATAAATATGGTCTTAACAAAATATACATGAAACACTGTGAACTAAATACATACATTAATCTAGTTCGCGGTGTTTCATGTATTAAAATGAAAAACTTCATATATATGTATTAAAAACTTCATTAATACATATATATGAAGTTTTTTATTTTAATACATGAAACACCGCGAGCTAGATTAATGTATGTATTTAATAAGATAGGCCTCTTAAAGTTGGACTGAATGAGGAAAAAAAAGGCGCTGAGTTATGGACACCTCACTAACAGACTAAAAAGGAGTCCTATTTCTTAAGATTCTCTGTTTCAAAATTTTAAGATTAAAACATATTCTCATAAACTCCTTAAATGCCATTCATTCCTTTTCAAAAAAAAAATACAAAAAATACAAAATACCAAAAAAAAAATTATTCTTTCACTTATGCTATATACACCCTACTATCATTATCCTAAAACAAAATTTTAGATATCCAAATTGAAAGTTAAAAAAAAAAAAATTTAAGTTAAAAAAATCCTTACAAAACATAATATGTACAATTAAAGAACACAAATAATTATATAGATTAAAATAGTTTGAAAAAAAAAACAATAAATTTATGTGCGACTACAAACAATCTAATATTTCAAATCCTATCGTATTATTCATTCTTGTCATTGTATCTGAAAATGGTTTCAAATAAATATTAAGTTTATATAGCAAAAGCACTCACACATTATCTAGATTAATCGTCTCTCGTGTAGCAACATCAAATACCAAATCGCTGAAAGCAGTTATATGGAGTTGCCTATCCTTTTGCACATGGGTCATGATACTTTAACTAGTTTGATGCTATTGAAGGGATAGGAAAACCTGGAAGCATAAATACTGAAAAGAACATGTTCTAATATTTTTCGTAAATACAAAAAATTTATACTTAGGATAAAGGTACCTCAACAAAATGGCATTGGCAAGGAATAATTTTGTGCAAAGCACGCGGTAAGAGGGAAGAACGCAAGACATTGATGTTGCGATATAAGTAACAACATAACATTATATTTAGCAACTGAACGTTATAAGTAATAGGAGGTCTGTCAAATAACCAAACCCAACTCCTCTTTTCCTTGAAGAACCACCTTGTCCTGAAGGTGAAAATGAGGATATTGCATATTGATGACATCGTATGACTCCCATGTAGCTTCAAAAGCAGCTAGGTCCTTCTATTGAATGAGAACCTCTTTAGAACCATCCAACAAATTGTGGACTGCAAGCACTGATTATGGTTGTACAAGGAGTTCCATATCCTAGGTGAGAAAAGGAGGAAGAGGCTCACTACAAGAAAAACTACATTCTGTAACCAATTTTTTAGCAACTGACCAGAATTAGTTGCACAAAGTCTACATTTACCAACTAAATTGCTATCAATAATGCTAGGGACACCGAAAAACCTGCACCGAAATTTTGTACCGACCTACGTGTAATACGTTTCTAATTTTTTTAACAATTTTTTTCTAGTGAACGGCCGTCCATCAAATTTGGACGACCGTTCACTCACATGGACGCCCGTCCATATTATATGGACGGGCGTCCCCATGTAAAGGACGCCCGTCCCTCATTAAAATACAATAAAAATTTTTATAAACATTTGGGACGCCTGTCCAAAACGTTTGGACGGGCGTCCATTATGTTTGGATGGGCGTCCATACTTAAAAAAAAAAATAAATAAATAAAAAAATACTGCTCAACTTCTACACTTTCACTTCTCTTCTTCTTCTTCTTCTTCTTCTCTGATCATCTAATAACTGCCCACGACTTTTAACTAATCAGACTTTTAAGTAAATGCATGTAGATATGCATATGGACCTGTACATCTCCATACTCAATACTGATTAAGATAAGAATACATTATTATTATTATTATTATTATCATTAGCTCGACTTTGCCGCAGTTGCTGGATCTTTTCTGCATCCTTGGACATGAAAGCATAAGTTTTTCGTGGAGTGGGAGTTCTTGTATCAATGGAAGGTGGCTCGTCCTCATCTGGGATCACAAAGCTGTCTTGTACAGGCCAAGCAGTTGAGTACTTTTGCTGTTGAGGGTGCTGGTATAGGCTTTGATATTGATGGTTCAGTGGCTTCTTCCTAAAACCTGGAAATATTCCTCTCAAAATTTCCATAGCAGACGATTCAGTGTTGACAAAAAGCTTTGCAAAGGATCCAAAGAAGCCTTCTTCTTGCTTCTTCTGTTCATCCTCCGTAGGGATTAAAGGCGGCCTGACTGATTTCAGAGCCACTTAGGAGAAAGCTAGTTTTTAGAAAAAAAAAAAAAAAAGAAAAAAAGAAAAAAAAAAAAGGAAGAGTATGGACGGTCGTCCATCAGGGATGGACGACCGTCCAAACATAAGGGACGGGCGTCCATTCATAATGGACGCCCATCCAAATGTAATGGACGACCGTCCAAAATTTATGAACAGCCGTCCTAATGTTTATAATTTTTTTTTTATTGTATTTTAATGAGGGACGGGCGTCCTTTACATGGGGACGCCCGTCCCTTATATATGGACGCCCGTCCATATAATATGGACCGGCGTCCATGTGAGTGAACGGTCGTCCAAATTTGATGGACGGCCGTTCACTAGAAAAAAATTGTTAAAAAAATTAGAAACGTATTACACGTAGGCCGGTACAAAATTTCGGTGTAGGTTTTTCGATGTCCCTAGCATTATTGAATTGCTATTGGTCGGGCAAAGAGGTATAAAATTTTGAGGTCCACATGTTCCAACGTTTGGCATCTAAACTAAATTTTCAGTGACTATTTTGCTAGTCACAGAACAGTTTTCTTTAGCGACTAATAAATTTAGTTGCCATTTGTAGCGGGTGATTTTTTCCCTCCATAATTTTACAATTTGCATCTAAAATATTATATTTTGCATCTACATTATTGGTTACAAAAAACAATTTTTTGCAACTAGCCCTTAGTAGCTAAATTAGTTGCGAATAATTAGGAATTTATTAGTAACTATTATGATTAGTTATAAACTAATGAAATTATCAAAATATCCCATATTTGGACAATAATTATAAGGGGCCCAAGGTATTTTCTGCAACAAATGTTTGTGTTCATATTAACAATAGTTCCAAAAAATCATATACAACAGCTAAATTTGGTTTAGTCGCCAATTTGAGTTGAAAATTTCATGTTTTCCCCAAATTATTTGTTCCCGCCAAACCTTAAATATAGGCAACTAAGACTAATTCTTTTGTGACTAAACGTTTAGTTCCCAATTCACTTGTTTGCCAAATATAACTATGTTTAAAAATTAAACAACTAAATAAAAGCCTCACTTTTTTAGGTTATTTATAAAAAAAAACCCTAACCTATATAAAGCAAGCCTTTTTCCCAATCCTTAATCTCTTCTCCACACATCTTCACCTGAATCCCTATTTCCGCAAATTTCCCAAACGCAGAACCTCACCTCATCTCTTCTCCACGCATCTTCATCTTAATCCCTATTTCCCCAATTTCCCAAATGTAGAACCTCACCTCATCTCTTCTCCACGCATCATCATCTTTCAATTGATCTTCTTGGCTTCCTTCATTCATCCAATACGAGGCAGTCACTGTTCATAAACTTCAAACCCATCACTCCCTAACCTCCCGTAAGTACAAATTTTCCATATTTATAAATAGGTCGGAGCTCTTTAAACTCCTTAACTACCTCTACCTTCCCTCTTTACAGTAATAGTACATATCTACAGCATTTGTCTCTCTGCTTGCTTTGCTTCTTTGGTTCTCTCACATTGTCTAGAGAATCTTCAACAAGAAAGCAAAAACCAAAGAAGAAAAAATAAGTCCAATCTCTCTCTCTCTCTCTATGTAATGGAAAGTGTCATTTCTTGCAAAAGAAAATTATAATTGCTAATGTTTGAAATTTATTTGTGTGTTTGCATTTTTTCTCTGTTTTTCGGGTACTGCTTGTATTCTGTATTTGTAACATTGATGAAATGGGAGATTCTAATGTTAATGAAACATATCGAGCCCAAAAAATGAGAAAAAATAGAATATGTTAGTAAACTTAGGTAGTTATATTAGAAGTTGATGACACAAATTTATGATACTGAATTTATATTTTGTTTGTGAACCTAGAAGGTCACAATGGATAGAAGATGGATTTGGTTGTCTAATAGGTTGTGCAATGAATATATTCAAGAAATTGACTCTTTCATAAACATTGCAAAACAACATTTGGATAGTGAGGGTAAGACCCGCTGCCCATGTAGAACTTGCTTGAGTACAAGATCACATGATATATTCAACATTCAGCTACATTTGTATAGACATGGGTTTTCAAGAAGTTACAATGTATGGACTTTTCATGGGGAACACATGAATCCAAGAACCATATTTGACGACATGTCTGACGATGAAGTGGACAATGAATATGAAGATGACGATGAAATCATGGAAATATTGAATGATGCTCGTGGTCCAGTAAACATGCATATGAATGCGGATTCATCAATTGTAGGTGGTAGTACACCCCAGAATCTTAGGATTCTAGACTACCAGAAATCTAATAAGTTGTTTGCATATGCTCAACAAGAATTGTATCCAGGGTGCACCAACATCTTAGTCCTAGAGTTCATAGTTAATTTGATGCATATAAAAGCCATCAGTCACATGACTAACAAATCATGTGACTTGATAATACAGTTGATAAAAAGTGTGTTGCCTGAAGGATCCAATCTCCCCAAATCCTACTACGAACCTAGAAAAATTATGCAACAATTAGCCTTAGGATATGAATCAATACATGCATGTAGGTTTGATTGTGCATTATTTTGGAGAGAGCATGCGAATGCTAATAAATGTCATGTATGTCATGAACCTAGATATAATATTAACGATGGAAAGGGTAAAAAAACTGCACATAAGGTTCTGCGTTACTTCCCATTGAAACCTAGACTCCAACGACTCTTCATGTCAAGGCACATAGTTGAAGATATGAAGTGGCATAAGGAAAAATGATTAAATACAGAAGATGTTTTGAGGCATTCTGTTGATTCTGAATCTTGGAAGGCATTTGACAAGATATACCCTTCATTTGCACAAGATCCCCGAAATGTCCGGATGGGTATTGCAACTAATGATTTTATTCCTTTTGGGAACATGAATATATCTTATAGCATGTAGCTGGTGGTACTTGTCCCTTACAATTTGCCTCCATGGAAGTGTATGAAAGACCCTTACTTTATGATGCATTGCTCATTCCAAGGCCTAAAGCACCTGGAAGAGATATTGATATATATTTGCATCCACTGATGGAAGAATTAAAAGAGTTATGGGTTGATGGTGTACAGAATTATGATACAGTTCAGGAAGAACATTTTCATTTACATGCTGTTGTCATGTGGTCAACTAATGATTTTCCTACCTTAGGCAATTTGTCTGGATGGAGAACCAAAGGCTATAGGGCTTGTCCTGTATGTAATGAGAATACTTCATCCCATTTGTTGAGAAGTAAAATATGCTACATGGGACATCAGCGATTCTTGTCTCTAGATCATTGATGGAGACGAAGCAAGCAACTCGATGGGAATATAGAAGTTAGACCTCACCAAAACTATATTCAAGGGATGAAATTCATGAACAACAATCTCATGTGAAAGATGTGCGTTTCGGGAAAAATATATTATCAGTTGACAGAGGTAGAAAAAGGAAACAAAGTCCTAGTGAATCAAATTGGACAAAGAAAAATATATTCTTTGAGTTTGAATATTGGTGTAAACTTAAAATCAGACATAACCTTGATGTGATGCACATTGAAAAAAAAAACATATGTGACAACATCATTGGCACATTACTGAACATTGAAGGGAAATCAAAAGATACTGATAAAGCTCGACTCAATTTGGCTGATATGAACATACGCAAAGAGTTACATTTGCAGCCTCTTGGTGATAGATATTTGAAACCACAAGCATGTTATACTCTTACATTAGATAAGAGAAAACAGTTTTTCCAATTCTTGAAATAAGTTAAGTTTCCAGATGAGTATGCAAGTAATATCCCCCAATGTGTCAATGTGAAAGACGACAAGGTTCACGGGTTAAAGAGTCATGATTGTCATGTCCTGCTACAACAACTATTGCCAGTGGGAATACATCCATATTTGTGTAAAGACGTTTGTACTACACTTGTCAAGCTATCCTACTTCTTCCAACAAACATGTGCTAGGACTTTGTCTGTAAATAATCTAAATAGATTGGAACAAGATATAGTTCTAATTCTTTGTAAGTTTGAAATGGTTTTCCCTCCTACATTTTTTGATATTATGGTTCATTTGGTTGTACACCTTCCATTGGAAGCTAAATTGGGTGGTCTAGTTGGATATCGGTGGATGTATCGAATTGAAAGGTTTTTAGGGAAATTGAAAAAATATGTTAGAAACAAAGCTAGACCGGAGGGCTCTATTGCGGAAAGTTATATTGTGAATGAAGCATTAACATTTTGTCCAATGTATCTGCGGGGAATTGAAACTAGATTTAACCAAGCAGAGAGAAACGATGACGGTTTGCATGGACATTCAAAAGGAGTAATATTGATTTTCTATCAAAAGGCTCATCCATGGGGTTCAAGGAACTTAATTGAACTTCCACAAGATGAATTGCAAAAGGCTCATTGGTATGTCTTGAACAATTGTGAAGAACTTCAACCTTTTCTAGAGTGAGTCTCTTTTTAAGTTTAGTTTGAAACCTAAAAAGAAACAAATGTTTTCAATTGTATATAAGTTGATCATTATAATTATATTTCTCTCTTTTATTTATGTAACAAACAGAGAACACTTAAGCAAGTTGGAGGCCCAAAATTGTGATAACATATTCAAAACACAAGAACGGTTATTTCTTAAATGGTTTGAAGATCGTGTAAGTAAACCTTAATCGTTTAAAAAATATACAAAACAAGGTTTAATATGTTTTAAGTAATTTCATTGATTTGGAATTGATGTTTTTGTGTAGATGAACACCTTGCATGTTGACAGGTGCAATGATACAACTAAGGAACTGTACTTCTTATCTTGTGGTCCTGATTTTCGTGTTAATTTTTTTAACAATTGTATTGTCAATGGAGTGCGTTTCCATAACAATGATCAATCACATTGTCGAGTTACACAAAATAGTGGAGTGATCGTCCAAGGGAGCATGATGGTGATCCAATTGATTTTTATGGTGTATTAAGTTGTGTGTTAGAGTTAAAATATGTTAATAGGTTTCAGGCTATATTATTCAATTGTAACTGGTTTGACATTGATTAAAAAAAAAAAAAAAAAAAAAAAAAGAGGATACAAAAAGATTATCATCTCACTTGTATTAATGTTGGCAAATAGTGGTATGAAAATGATCCTTTTATACTTGCAATTCAAGCTCAACAAGTATTCTATGTTGATGACTACACACTTAAGACTAATTGGAGAGTAGTTTGAAAAGCTCAACATAGAAACCTATGGGATGTACAAGAGATGGATAACATAAATGAAGAAGAGGAGCATGTTGTTCTTGTAATGAAGATGAGTTTGACAAGGGATATTTCATTAGAAATGATGTTAATCTAGACTTGGTTGATGCGACAATTACACATGTTGGAGCTTAAGTAGTGGGAGATGATGTTGATGTTGATATTGAAGAAGAAGATGATATGTTGATTGATTATTGTACTAATAATGAAAATGATTTATTGAGTGATTCTGATAACAACTTTTGATGGTATGAATGTATGCTTATATGTACTCTTTACTGATTATATGTATGTTTAAATATAGTTAATGATCTAATTTCGTGAGATTAATTGCATAAAGTGACTTAAATCTCACCTGCTATTTTTTCTCTTATGTTGATGTTTGCAGATTCTGAAGATGGCTCCTGGTATAAGAAAAACCCTAGCTAGACATGCAAATGTTGTTAAGATGAATCAGAGTGCTGAACCGACTCCTGAAACTGCTGCAAACACTAGTAAAGTTATGATATTAGTTAACTTAAGTATACTGAAATATATACTTGGATTTTAGATATTGTCTCCAATGTTTGCTTAAAATTTAAGAATCCATTTTACTTTACCAACATGTAAATAGTCCTTGTGATAACATATTATTTAGTAATGATGCATTATTTTGAATTTGTAGGCAATATTGTGGCGAAGAACGTGAGAGGGAAGACTAGAGGAGTCGAATGTGAAAGACTCATACAAACAGGCAAGTTGAAGTTGCATGTAGACCTTGAAAAAAAAGATGGAGTACCTACGGGAGTAAATGCATCCAAGTTGAGTACTGAGGTAGGAATAGTTACGAGAAACTATGCTCTCGTTAGAGTGCTTACTTGGAAGAAAGTTCCCAAAGATGTGAAAAAACAAATGATTGCTCGTATCATGGTAATGTCCTTCATATCACTATCCATATTGTCATACTTCTTTATGAAAATAATATATAATACCCATATAAGTTTAATGCATGTACATTATTGCTAAATTCAGACCAAGTTTGACATCAATGTCATGGAGCCCTATGTACTCAAATGGATGAAGCACAAACTATGTAAGAGATTCAACAG